GTGTGTGTGTGTGTATGTGTGTGTGTGCTTGTGCATGGGACAGGAGCTGGGGAGGAAGGTGATAAGGAGTGAGGGATTTCTCCTCCTGCAATGCAGAGAATATTAAAGGAAAATAACTGGAGAGAGCTTAGCCCCTAGAGAGTTGCCAGCTCAGACACAGGCCTGCAGCCCTCTAGCCAGGTGTACTGGGTGCTTTAGACGGGATTTGTGTTCCTGGAAAACTGGGTTTAAATCATCTGTAAAAACACAAATAAAACCATCCCTCATAGCCACTGGGGACGCCTGCAGCATGATGAAAGTCTGCAGCAAGTTTTCCTGTGCACCATGAGGAACTTTCGAAACTTGGGATTTGCCCTTCTTGGAACTTCTCAAAGAGTGGTAAATGTGCTGGGTGGGAGAAAAAGCCAATCACAGGCTAAGAACCTCTGGCTAAGAAAAGCCCAGATTCAATGGTGAATGTGCTTCACGGGGGTTCTCAGACCCCAGCTAAGCCTGCTACCTTCCCAGTCACGTTGGAGTTAAGCCCAGCCGTGGGCCCCAGCTCTGGGGACAGCCCAGAGTCCTGAGCCAGCAGCTCTGGTTAGGAAACTAATAAAGACAGAGAATCTCTTGCAGCCAGGCCCGTGGTGAGAGACGAGTTAGGTCATGTCTCTCTCTGTTCAATCGGATATTACTCCCAACCCTGATGTCACCTTCAAGCTATTAAGCATCACCCTCTGAGACGTACATGTGCAGCTCACAGGCCTCTTATCAGGCTGTCCTCTGAGTCTTACTGTGGTCAGGGGTCAGGGCTGAAAGCTGTTTCTTTGCCAATTGCTGGTCAAAGAGGACAGGCTTGTTCAGACTTCAGACAGGGTTGAGAGGGTAGGCAAATGATCAGCAGAGGATCTTGGTTTGGTGACCAGGATCAGAGAGAGCTCCCCTGGGCTCTAGAAACAGGGTAGGCATCCCATCTTCAAGGGTAATGTCTGCTAGACCTTGTGGTCTCTGAAGGGCTGGACTGAATCAAGCCATCCAACTAGCCCCTGGGCCAGAGCTTCTCTACATGGCCCATGTGTCCAGCAATGGGTTGTTTGCAGCTAAGAATCCAGGTGATACCAAGGATTTAAGTTTCCCCATGCATCCATCCATGCAGTAACATCTATTGAGTGTTCATTATGTTCCAGGCTTCATGATAATAGTTAGGAATAAAATGGTTAGAGAAACACATCCCTTCCCTTCCTTCCAGCTTGGAAAGCAGACCACAAATAAACAATCAAAAATTAGAAGAAACTGAAATTTAAATTGAGATCATGGCCAAAAAGGATCAGACACACAAGATGAGAAGACAGAAAGGGATGGTATCGGACATGGGTGTGGGTGATATTAAAGAAGGGCATGGATTTGAGATATTCTTGAAGGGGTTTCAAAACTATTCAGATGTTCAGGGTTTTGGGGAAAATGGGTCTGAGAATGGACAAACAGTGAGAAAAGGAACATGGTGGGAGCCCAGTGCCGAGGTGGCCAAGAGAGGACACAATTGGCAATTGCCTCGTTGGTGGTTGTAAGGGGTTAGCTAGCACAGTCTCCTCCATCTGGCTGGAGAACATACAGCTATTAATGGAAAACTTTTCTACTTAAAGGAAAGAGAGAAATCCACCCAACAGAGGCTTACCCAGTTACTGGCACTGTGCAGCTTTGGGGATCATGACAGGAGAGTGGATCTGAACATGACACTGGTTTTCTTTTTAAATAGAAGAGCTGTCAGAAATGCATCAGGGCCTGGCCCAGGCTGGTGGGCAGATTTCTGCAGCTCTGAGCCCCTTCAGGCCCTTCATTTGGAAATGAATTCTGTATTCACTTCCTCTTTCTCTTCTCTCCCCACCTCTCTGGGAAGGGTAGCCATACATTCCTTTGTCCCTGATGCTCTCTCAAGGAGAGATAAACCCATTACTGAAAAGTTCCTGTCTGGGAATTCTCAGTTGTTTGATTTTCTACCATGTCACCCTCTCTGGGCACAGTCAGTGGCTCCCATCAGGGAGTCACCAGTGGGTGGCCCTTCTTCCCCTGCACAGCTTTCCCCTAGAGAGACAGTAGTGGGTTTTTACCAATTGGTCCCAGCTACCGTTCAGCCAGCACAGGTAAATCAAATGCCAACGCTGAGGAGGGAGACAGGGAGTATGCAAAAGTTGACAGTCTGAACAAGGGCAGCGGTGGAAGGGGGACAAAGGATGTTGTGGGTGGGAGGACTACCTCTGTGGCAAGTAAAATGAGCAAGACCTGGTCATGGATTTGTTCTGAAAAGCAAAGACATTAGCACCAAGGGTGTGTCCCAGATGCACAGTATAGGCGAATGGGTAGGCTGTGGTGTTGCCAACTAACAAAGAAGAATCAGAGTATAGGCAAGAGGGGCCAGGCCAGCTGAGGGAGATGGAGGTTTCTGGTTCAGGATTTTGAGTTTGAAGTGTTCGCAGTCATCTAGGTGACAAAGGGCACTAGGAAATGGACTATATATAATACCTAAAGATCCCGGATCAGCCATAGGTTTCATCACTGGAGTACTCAGTCTTGATGAGGTTGTGCAGCAGTGACACATGACCTCAGATCCCAGTGGCTTACAACATCAAGCATTTATATCCTCACTGACAAATGTGAAGGTCATGGAGTCAGTTGTGACTTTGCCCCACATCTTTCCCATTCTAGAACCCAGGCTAAAGGGGGAACCTCCACCTCAGGTTTATTCAAGGGAAAAGAATGATGGCAGAGTCACCCTGTGACTCAAAGCTTCTACTTGGACAGTGCATATGTCACTTCTGCTCATATTCTGTTGGACAAAATGAGTCACACAGATCCACAAGGTAGGACAGCACCCCCCCACACTGCTGTGAATACTTCATATGGCAATGGTCAGGGAGGCACATTCCCCCAGTGGAGAGGAAAGAAAATAATTGGGCCTAATGATACAATTGGCTATAAAATGTTGGGGGTTCATACAACTTCTGTTTGGGGGACCTAATCTGTGAAAAGGAATGATAGTACTACCTCTTAAGTTTGTTAATAGAATTAACTTGGTTCATACATGGAAAGCATTCAAAATGGTGCCCAACACAGTAAATACTATAAATGTCGTGGGGTAGAGGGGAGGGGAAAGGAGTAAGGCTCGTGTTTAATTGGTACAGAGTTTCACTGGGGAAGATAACCAAGTTCTGAAGATGGATGGAGGCAATGGTTACACAGCAATATAAAAAGTACTTAATGCAACAAGTTGGACACTTAAAAGTTGTCAGAATAGTAACATAATGACCAATATATAATGTTATGTATATTTTACCAAAATTTAAAAACTGTGGGTGATAGGATCATTTAGGGAGGAAATGAAGAGTAAGGAAGGTGATGGGCAGAAAGAAGAGAGCTTGGGAACCAGCTGTGAGGACAATGGCATTGAGAAAGGATCTTCAAGGAACATTTGGGACATGGAAAGAAAATCAGAAGTTGATGTCTCCCTAAGTATGAGAGTTGAGTTTCCTGTAGGGAGGAGTGTTGGATTGCCTGAAGACATTCATGTCACTTGACTTTGAACCTAAACCTTAGCCCACTGAGCTAAGATTCCCTTTGGTACATTGATTTTTGTGAGTCGGCTTCACTCTGCCAGTCCTGATGATGTCACTTCCAGCCACCTACCATACCTGACCTAGGCTACCTCAATGCAAAATCCTGGTCAGGTCTCCTCTCCTTGCTCCCTCCCTCCCCCCAAGCCAGTCCTATTTGTCCTTTGTGGATATCCTGGTGAGATAAAATTGTTCTTTAATTAAAAAGATATAGAATATGGGACTTTTTTCCCCATATGTCATTATTATTGGTGTATGTATATTTTCTACCCTGAACCAAAAAAAAAAAAAAAAAAAAAAACTCCAATCTTGGAATCTCAAGAGACAAAGAGAGAGAGAGAGAGAGAGAGAGAGAGAGAGAACCTTACTAGGGATTGTTATTTTATGGTCAAGATTCCTTTACTAATAGAAGAGTTCATCTTTTGATTATTGAACTTTGACTCTTTGATAAGTCATAGGTTGGGGAAACAAAGTGAAACTTTTACAAATGGGAAATGAACACAATTCATCTGTATGGGCAAAAAGTTCTTTTTTTGGAGTTTGTTTTTCAGTGATTACATTTTGAAGAACCTAAAGTAGATTCAATGATTTCTTTCCTTTTCTTGTTTTTCCTAGACATTGTCTGGGAAATCATCCGATGAGAATCAGAAGATTGCACACAGAACTGTGGTTCTTAGTGCTGCAAAGAAAAGGGCCTGGAAACTTTTTTTTTTTTTTTTGTATTGATTTTATTTCTCCAAGAGATTTCTTACAAAGTGAATTGACCTTGTACAGTTAATTTGATGTTATCTTAAGAAAATAAATGAAGTATGCTTTAGAAAAGAATTATACATGTTCCAACCAGCCATCTCATTTGGCAGTCATTTTCCACAGCTTTTGTGCTTTCTGGGGGTGGGGAGGTGGGGTTGTTTTTACACATAAATGATTAAATCTACACACAGAAATCCAAATTCCAAATTCTTTCTGACCTTCTTCTATAATACCAGCTGAGATCCAGAGACTAAGCACCAATCAAGGGGCGGGGTTGGGGGGGGTGTTCTTTTTCCAAGGCTGCAGTCGCCTCGGGCTGCTTGGCCATCAATCCTCAAAGTGGCATCCCCAGAAGATGTGACTGAGGTCCGAGCAGTGCCCACACATGAACCTAGCCATTCTTCCCAAAGTTATGGCATTTGTGGGACACACAAGAGGGACTTAATTGCATCCCATGGAAAAAGAGGTTGTCTCCTTGTCCTGTTTGCAGTCAGCCCTTTGAGAGCACAAGATGCTGCAGCCAGGGAACCTTCCACTCCAGAGTTCCACATTGATAGGTCCTCACCCAGCAGCCCTCATGTTTTCACTCCATCCCTGGGACATAGGGGCCACTGTCCAGCTCTCAATAGTATCAGCATCTGGAGAGGTTTTCAATCTGGAAATTGTGGATTGAAAAGGAATCGCTGCTGCACTTCCCGGGACCTTTGCTCGGGAGCCTCAGCTCTGTATTCCTGCATTGAGCTGAGCAGCAGGTGCTGTCCTGGGTTTGTTCTCAGTCACCCAATCAAACCTGCCTGAACAGGGACATAAGGACCTATACCAGGCTATTTTTCTGCCTTCTTTCAGTCAATGCTCATAAATTTGCTCACTCAACAGCCAACACATTTGGAGACAGGGACAGGTTACTGATGTGCAGTCCCTGGGTTGCTGTCTTTAGCCCTCCTCGTGCTGGTTTCCCTTGGGGTTTGGGGACAACTAACAACCCCCAAAGCCTCAGATGTAGAGCTCAGAGAGGAAAATGGGAAGGTGGGCCAGGATGTGTGTGTGTCTCCATCATTTCCTTTCTTTTGGAGCATTTGCTTTTATGAGTCACCAGCTGGTTCCAAGGTTTCTTTCCCTGCAGGCCAGGTGGTGTCCAGAACTGGAGGAGGCCTGGCCGAGCAGGAGGAAGGTGGCAGGAGGAGGTGTGGGTGACGGCCAAGAGACCCTGAGAAGCAGCATCCCTGGAGCTCTTTCCAGACTCATTCAGTTCAGTTGGCGCTGGATGATTCCACGAGAGTGTGGGAAGCAAAGGGCCCTGGGGAGGGGCTGCTAAGCCAGCAATGTGGACAGCACTTTCTGGGAAACTCAAAGCGCCGGGGCATCCTGGGCAGCTTCGTTTCTGAGTCAGTGAAAGGTATGGAGAGGCAACTGTGGGGCAGAGGGGGAAAGGTGAAGGTGGGACAGGGAAGGGGCAGTTGGGGAGGGGCTCAGTCCTTAGTCTTTATTTTCTCCATGGAGAACCTCACTCTGAACTTGGAGAGGCTGCAGAGTCCCCATCCTCAGGGTCCTGCCCATGGGGAGAGACAGGCTGACCCCCTTTCACACGCTTCCACTTCATCCTTCGGTTCTGGAACCACACTTTCACCTGAGGGAGGAAGTAAAGGAGACTGATCACTCCAGGGCCCAGGTGACTTTCCCCCCATGGTGATGCTCAAGATAGCCAGGGTACAACTAACTCCAGGGACCCCAGCTTAAATCCCTCACTTGCTGCTCCCCATTTTCCCAAGACCTCAAGAACTGAGGCTAAAGGGAGAACATACCAGTCAGCTGAGAGGTCCACCTTGTATCTCAAGATGAAGCCCCAGACAGGTGCAGGAACCTCTGCATGGGCCCCACTCTTTCACATGTCCCACCTTTCCTGTGCCAACACACCTCCCTCAAAGGTCTGGGAGCAGAGGGTCATCAGCCTCATCTTTTTTCTTTTTTTTTTAATATTTATTTTTTAGTTCTCGGCGGACACAACATCTTTGTTTGTATGTGGTGCTGAGGATCGAACCCGGGCCGCACGAATGTCAGGAAAGCGCGCTACCGCTTGAGCCACATCCCCAGCCCCATCAGCCTCATCTTTAGGTACATTTATAGAGCACTTTTCAGTTTAGATAGTTCTGATCAGCACATTTTCTGGTCTGAGTGTAGGATTATGACCTCAATTAACAAATGGAGACCCCAGAGTCGTGGACTTGGCAGAGACAGGATCTACAGACAGGATCTTCTGATTCAAAATCTAACACTCTGGCAGAGTCCTCTGTCAACTAAATACTGTTATAGAATGTTGTTGGTGTTATTCTATATCAGAACATGGGTATGAGCAGGGTGAGATGTTCTGAGGAAAGGCCTCAGCAAAGGGCCAGGGAAGTTTTTCTCCAAGTGTGCCCAGGAATGAACTGCATATCCTCATGACCTGCAGAACTTATCACAAATGCAGATTCTCATTCCCTCTCATCATTATTGCAAAATTCCAGAACCCCAGGGTTCTGGAACCTGCATTTGAACAAGTGCCGAGGTGATTCCAATACCTGCTCAAGTCTGGGGAATAAGCAGATCAGATGTACAGAGAATCACCTGGGGGACATTTGAGAAATCTGGGTGTCTGGATTCCATCCCAGATCAATTACAATGATCCCAAAGAGTGGAGCCCAAACATCAGTGTTATTAAAATCTCCTCGGATGATTCTCAGGTACAACACAGTTGAGAACCACTGGTTGGGTGGAGGGAAAAGAAAAACAAAGTCCAGGGAGGGGTAATGGGAAGGGAGAGAAGGAAGCAGGTGAGAGAGCAGTGAGAAGGTAGGGCTGCCTGGGCTGTACCTGTCGTTCAGAGAGGTCCAGGTTTACCGCGATCTCATATCTGCGGAGCCGGGTCAGGTAGTTATGGTGAGCGAACTCAGCCTCCAGCTCCCGAAGCTGCTCCTTGGTGAAGGCTGTCCTCTCCTTCCGGGCCTTGCTGCTGCCTTCTGGTTTCCCTCGGTTCTCTTGATTGTCTAGGGAGAAAGGACCCCCAAATGTGAGCTGAGGGGCTAGGTTGGGCAACCTTCTTTGGAGGATGCTGAGAAAGAAGTTACCTCGTTCCTTCATTCTTTTTAGTGCTGTATCCTTCTGACAATTGGGAAGCTTTGGGGGCTTCCAATCTCAGTCCCAACCCCTGCCCTGCAACTTTTCTATTTCCAAAGGATGTAAAGCTGTTCTTGGCTGTTTAATGATCTCTGACCCCAGCCAACCCTAGCATGACATTAGTGCCTGTTGTATGTGTACCAGATACTCTACAACAAATTCTCAAGGCATGTCAGGCCAGCAGCATCAGTCTCACTTGAAAACTTGTTAGAAATGCAAATCCTAGGGCTTCACCCCAGACCCATTGGATTAGAAATTGGGGTGGGGTGGGGACTCAGTCATTTGTTTTAACAAGACTTCCTGATATTTCTCGTGCATGATCAAGTTTACACACTTCTGCTCTAAGACCTCACTACCCAAAGTTTCTCAGGCAGCCAGCAGCATCAGCATTGCTGGGAAGCTGGTCACACAGGCTGGCTCTACTGACTCAGCCTCAGAGGGCCAAGTCTGGAAAGCCATCTGAGCCCTGGGGAGGAGGCTGGTTAGACACAGTGGGACTCTGTCATAAAAGCTAACAGGGCCAGGGGAACATAAACTCTGTGCCAGGCACTCTACCAAACACCTGGCATGCATTAATCCCCTAATCTTCACAATTGCCCAACCAGGTGATTTTAGTATTAGCCATATTTTATACACCAGAAAACTAAGCACAGAGTTCAAATTGATCAAGTTTATCCAGCCAGGGAGTGATGGAGACCGGAATGAAACCCAGGCAGTTTGACTCGCAAACTGTTCAAACGCAATATTTGTAGGAAGACTTACAAACTGTAAAGTCCTGTGCAGATCAAAGGGGCTGTGCTGTGTCTTATCTTTTGAGCTAGTGGCTGGACCTTCACTTCCACGGTGGTACACAGAGCGGCACAGGGAGGAGATCTACACACCCACACAATTAACTAACAATGCGTGCCACGTGGCCCGTGAATGGCTGCAAGAAGCATTCCTGCCATGCTCTAATATTCTGCGCTCTCTTCATTGGTCTCCTTTTACAGGCACGGGGACTGTGGCTCAGAATCAGGGGCTTTACCGAGAGCTGCGCCCCAACCCACTGCCGGCTCCGAGTCTCTGGTCCCCTCGTCGCCTACGCGGCCAGGGGTGGGTTCTCTGTTCTCGGAGGCCAGGTTTAAGCCGACCTGGGTGGTGGGCGGAGGATGCAGACGGGATGTAAGTCAGGCCAGCCGCCCACACTCTGGGCTCAGCTGCCAAACGGCGGAGGGGCCTGGGGAGGTAGAAACCCCACATTAATCGGGAGATCCAATTAGAACTTTGAGCCTGGCTGGTTCTTTCTTATGCTTTCCATTCAACTCGTTTGCACTTTGGTTTCCCCGACTTCCGCCCCCGGGGCGACTGCGGGGGCACCAGGAGAGAGGGGCGGGGTGGGCGGCTCTGCAATCCCGAGGGGAGCGGGGCCATCGATGCTCCTCTCCCGCTGTGGCCGCCCCGGGAACCCCGAGATGGCCCGAGGGTGCTTCCCGCAGTCTAGATGCCTAGCCCGTGGGTGTCACGGCGCCCTGGCCCCGGTGCCCGCGCCCGATTCGCGGGGGCTGCCTGCAGGGCTCTCCTGGGGACAGGGGAGGGGGCGAG